TGGAATATACTTCAATAGAATTAACCCCACGTACAGCATCTCCTTTGAAAGAATGTGAACCTGCAGCAGCAGCATATCCCAAGACAAACAGAACAATCGTCATAGATTAGCAGACTTGGGATTCTCGAAATCTTAAACAACGTGACATTTGGTTGGAAATGATCAACGAAATGAAGAAAAATTATTCAGATCAACTTTTTTTTTTTTTGAAAAGTATTCAGATCAACTTAGTTAAATGAGATTAATATCCTTTACCGGGCTGCGAACAACTATGGATGTTTTGGCACCGTGATTTGCCAGGTCCAGAGCGATCTCCATGCCAGAATTGCCAGACCCAACAACCAAAACGTTCTGGTCACTAAAGGCCTTGCCGTTTCTGAACTGGGTTGAATGGAGAACATCTCCAGGGAAAGTATTCAATCCTTCAATCTCTGGTGTATAAGGGTTGCTTGTTTCTCCACTAGCCACCGCCAAAAACCTCCCCTTGAACTCCTCAACCTCTCCAGAACCCAAGTTCCTGGCCTTGACGACCCAGTTCTTGCTTGCCTCATCGAACTTGGCCAACTCGACGCATCTCCGGTACAAAGGACTGATCTTAAAATGAGAAACGTAATCATCCATGTAGCTTACGAATTGTTCTTTTGAGATATAGCTCGGATAAGAGTCGGGAAATGGCATGTAAGGAAGCACGCAGAATTGCTTATCTAAGTGAAGATGGAGACGATCATAGGCATATTTCTTCCAAAGCGAAGCAAAACAATCTTCTCTTTCAAGGATTATGCAAGGGATCGAGTGGAAATTAAGGCAAGCCGCTGTGGCCAGGCCGGAGGGGCCGGCTCCGACGATGATGACCGTTTCTTCTTGCATCATTCGACCCACACAGTTTGGTCTCTCTCTCTTTTAGCTGTGTATGAGATGCAAAATGGCTCTCTCGGGGTCATGGAAAGATGAGATGTGAGCTACTACTTTTATGTCATCATATTAAAACGTTGTTAGACAAAAACTTTAATTATAATTTATGTTCATATTTGATGTATCTTTCAGTTACAAACTCCAAAAATTCAATACATTGTATATAGATTTTTGTCTTTTTATCTATGTATTTCTATTCAAAGAATTACATTTTATATTTTATTTTGAACATGCTATTTCATAAATAAAATAATAAAGCAAATCCTTTTACTTTTTTTTTATTCGGAAATATAGCAAAATACATCTGATAATTTTTTGTATGCCTATACTGCTTTTTATTTATTTATTTATTTGTAAACTAGAAATGCCCACACACAAAAAAAGGTACTACCACTAGTTGACAATAAATATGCATTGAAAAACTAGGTACATATCAGTCTCTCTTTAATTTTTTTAATTGATTAAGTACATTTTTGTTATTCTCTCTGTGGTGAAAATTTTGATAAGAATGGTAGCAAAGTAACGTTGGATTCAATTCTTAATTTCCATATTATATATTATTGTTATGGGGTGCGTTAAATGATGCCAAAACAATAGATATATATATATATATATATATAATAATAGAATTCTTAATTTGTAAATAAAAAATTAATGTTATACTTTAATGGATATTAATTTCCCTCTTGTTATAGGACTTGTTTAATTTGCTTTGTTTATAATAATCCATTTCATATATCGTAGGTGAAATTTTGACAACAAGATATAGCAAAGAAAAATTTAAGCCATCACTTTATTTGTATTGAATACGCTTAATTGAGATGGGTAGACTCTAGGGGGCACTGCTTTGAAAATTTGAGGACCATCGTCCGCTTCCTGTAAAATTGAAAAAAAGGGCAGACTGTAAAAACAGCAAAAGAATAATAAATTTGCTGATAATGAAATTGAAAGTCAAATGCTAAATACATTATCAATTTCCAAAACTTATCCCAATTTCGTGTATCAAAAAGTAAACCAAGGGAAAAAGATCTTTCACAATGCCAAAGTTGACATTACTTGACTGCAATTCAGGCTTATGCATCTGCCCAATCGACAAATCAGATCATATAAATTTATATATATATATATATATATATGTATATATACAGCATGCAGATGCAGTTATGCTTAGGTTGGTGGGGTTTGATTGAAAATGATGGTTCTCAAATTATAAAAAAAAAAACAAAAATCAGAAAACAGGTACTTGAAATTATCAAATTATGTGGTGAGACGAAAAGCTCTATGACCCACTCTATTTATTTCATTAGGTCCCCGACTACACAAACTCTGGTACATCAATTCAACAAAATTAAGCTAGGGTTTTAAATACCAAGATTAAGACACAATTTCTGGGGCTGCTTTTTCCTACTGTCACTTGTCCATGATGAACCCAAGTTTACATCTACCGTACAGGTTAGGGTAATTAAATCCATATTCTTATTAATTAATAATGAAAATGATATCGTAGCTTGCAATCCCTGTTTAATATTTTTTACTATACAGAACCACAAAGGAAGAGGAAAATAATGTTTAAGTAATAAGGAGAAAGCGCAAGCTCCATGGGTAGTAGTGATGAGGAGGAGTAGTTCCTTCCGTTTCAAAACGTCACGTTTTGACAATGGTTAATGCCCGAATGTCTACCACAGCATTGTTTTTGGCAAAAAGCAATAATAATGGCTTGAAACTTTCTGACAAATTTTCAGTCGTACAGTTGAATTTTCCTCAAGGTATGATAATGACGTGGTAGCGAACAGGATGAAATGATGCATGTAACCTACAACGACACAGACGAGAGAGAGAAAAAAGTTGGAAAAATTTAGAAATTATGGAATGAAAAGATGAGTGCCTGTATAGGTACTACAGTTCGTGTGTGAACATATGGTTCTGAGGTTTGAGTTGGATTTGAATTTCGCAGAAATGAAGAGTCCTGAGACGAAAAGAAGTTTGGGGTTTGGTGTGGAAGGGACGCAACAAAAATAATCTCTGTTTCCGTGCGGTTATTGATACCAACTTTTTTCCTTCATTGTCTGGTCTCCCTTGCTAGCTACTTTCCTAACAACTGAAAAAGCCAAAGTCAATCGAAATGTTTCTTGTGGGTCTGCAAGCCATACAAGAATCCCATGATCCCTTCACGACTAATGAAAGCCTGAAACACATGCAGCAAAACTGGGTATCTTCTGTCCCGTGGAAAAGCAAGAGAGAGTTTTGCAGCCTATTTTCGCAGCAATTAATTTACTGCACCCCACCATGCTCATTTTGAGAAATCATCATTTCCTTCTGGGAAGCATTTTCCCTTTCTCTTTTTCCTTTGTGGGGCTTTCAAGTCCTGAACGTGTAGGATCTGATATTGGTCACGAAATTTGTGATCTCCCGTGGCACAAAAATGGAGATAAAAAAGTTATTTGTTCACATGCTGATCAATGAATTTTTTTTCATAACAATGATTAATTTCAGGATTTGGTATGTTGTCGGCCAAGCATGTAATGCATTTTTTTCCCCCAACAAGAACCCATTCTACATTTTCCTGTGGGCTTCTTTGGTTTGATAATCTAATTTATGTTCAGATTTTATCTTGATTTATTATCTCATGTGAATAGGTTGACATAAAATCCAATAAAAAAAATTGACTTCAATTCTAAAAATGTATGACATATGATTTGATGAGTTAAAATGATTATGTCATAGTTAATATGATCAAATATATTGAAATTTGTAATTACCATAGATCATATGTCAATGAAGTAAAAAAAAATTAATTAGTATATCAGTTAATATTAAATTTAAGTAAGGTTTAATTTTTTTGTTAAGATTTAAAATTATTTCGATCTAAATACAAATTTAAATACTCATTTGAATTAAATAAAGATGAAATTATTTTTGAATCAATTATCATAGATAGAAAAATAATTTGTTTTCAGGTTTATGTCAAAAAAAATTCTTGAAATGATTCGCCTTAGCCATAGCCATAGGTTGAATTGGTCCTAGTTTTCAGACTTATCAAGACTTAATTACTTGGTAAAGGAGATAAAGACCTGATTAAGGCGTTGAGAAAGTCAACTTAAAAGCCAGGCCAGGCCGGGCCGCCGGAATTGTGCTTACGTTTTTGCATTAGCTTAATAACTCGGCATATTTCGAGTCACCAAAGAAAGAAACAAAGCACGTTGCTTTTTTCGAAGCAAAACCCATTCATCCAAAGGTTCAAACTTTTTGCTCGCTTGTCCATCGTTAGCATACCAAATGCTTTTTTTACTTTATTAATTATTCCGTCGCTGCCCCCCTCCCCCTGTTTTGAGCTGGACCAAGCTCTGTTCCTAATCAATAATTAAAACATTATTGATCTTTGCGTCTAGAGGAATATTGGTTGAAATTCATATATATATATATATATATTTTTTGATTGTGGGGTAGAAAACCTGGCATTGGTTTAGTTTAGCCACTGCAGGATATATTCAAGAACCCCATGTTCCTTTACTTCACACTGCCAACAAATGGGGCCAAAATTTTCTAAACAAGCTCCTTTACAATCACAAGCTATATGGCTGGATCCTAGGAGTTGACAGAAGGAAGTCATAAATTTGATCTCATTCATTGCACAAGCGAGGGTACACCTCGATATGAATATGGATCTTTAATTTTCATATATATATATATATATATATTTATTATGAAAAACAGATTATGATCTTTACATAAAACGTCAAGTTACATTGCACTTGAACATTTACTTGCTCAAAAAGTAAAATTTAAATTTTTTCTATCTTCTAATATATATATATAAAAAGTGTCAAATTGTATTACAATTCATTCATTATTAAAAATATCAACAATTAATTATATCATTTTTTAAATAATTTAAAAATAAAAATAATTAACTCTTACCTCGGACACAATCGTAAGACAATATGTAAAAGTCATGCCTTATTTAAAGATTTATTATAATGACTTCTTGAGTAGAAAATTAGTACTATAAATTTCACAATCACCATGTATGAAATTCAAATGAGTGATATTTTAAGTTGTGTTGAGCTCATATTTACTTGTTCAAATTGTAAAGTTTAAATTTCTCTATCTTCTAGTATTTATAAAAAAAAATGTCAAATTGTAATATAATTCATTCATTATTAAAAATGTCAACAATCATTTCACTAAAAAAAGTCAACAATTAGTTACATCAACATTTTTAAATGATTAAAAAATGAAAATAATAATAAGATAATATGTAAAAATTGTATCTTATGTTAAGGATGTATTATAAACACTCTTTGAAGGTACTTAAGTTATGATATAACACTTATGAGTAGAATATTAGTATTATAACATAAATCTCATATCGATTATATATAAAAAAACTCGAATGAGTCATTTTTCAATCGACTTAAGTTTTAGACGTTTTCTTAAACATAAACAATAAATGATGATATTTTCAAAATTGTTTATAACTCGCATCAACACCATATATGTATGTATGTATATATATATAGAGAGAGAGAGAGAGACGCACACTATAGACATTAGCCATGTTAGGGATAATCCTTGTATCCCCTTCTTTCCAGATAATAAAGATGGTTTGATTTCAAACTTTTTGAAAAACTCAAAGATGACAAATCTAAAATCCAAATAAAATAAAGAACAAACATGCTGATGTTTTCAACGAATGAATGCCTCTCCATAATTTGCTGACCAAGGGAGTTCAAACTAATTTTATATACACTCACCAGTTCAACGTTTTTGGCTAGTTATTTGTTAAGGAAAAAAAATTAGGCATTTAGCCTTGGAAAGTGGAAAGGGGTGGAAGAAGAAACTCATCATCACTAATAAAGCATGGGACTCTCATTATTTTGTGTTGTTCTCTATAACGACATACTCGGTCCAATGACAGCCATTCTAATCAGCTACTGCCAGGTTTTGAAGGTCAAGAATTTTTACAATCTTAGCCAACAAGGAAAGCTCATTTCTTCTTAAATCTTTTATTGCAAGCAGATTTCAGTTTTAACATACGTCATACTTAAGCCAAC